GGGGGGGGAGGGGCGCTGGCAGCAGCTCGAAGGACACATCGTCCCGCTTGCTGCCTCCATCTGCCTTCTGATCATGGGCTTTTGGTACGTGATGGATGGCATGTGAGAAGCGAAACATCTTCCAGGAAAACCGAACTTGTTGCCTTTGGGACCGTCCTTACAATGAGCAGTAGCACACAACGGCCTTACAGAAAGTAGGAACCAGGCCCCAAAGAATACCCCCCTCTGGAAAGACGCAGGGCAGGACCCGAGGCGTTGGGCCAGGTGGCTGCCTGTCCTGCTGTTTGCTTGTGGGGAGATTCCCCAGGCACGAAAGGATCCGGACTAGATGGAAGAAGGCAACCCAGTGGTGTTTTCGACATCATCACTCAAGGAGGTTGGCGTGGAAACCTAGAAGGCCCAAACGACCGAATTGAGCCCTTCCTGACACAAAGGAGTCAGTGAAAGGAGACATCGGCCAGGAACACTTTGCAAGCGGCCAGAGGTCCCCCTAGGATGAAGGGTTGAAGGCCAAGAGATTTAGAGCGGGAGATCCCGTCACGCTTGCCTGGGGAAGAACGCAGACCCCAGGCCCAGGGGAGGGTCCCTGCAAAGTGAAGGGCAGGATGGGTCAAGTCAATGGCGAGACAGAAGTTGGGAGCCCAACAGCTTTGGGAGGGAAGAACCTGTGGCCATCCTGAAGATATGCCTGATCCCATTTGCTCCTCCGCACCTTTTGCAATGCCCAGCGATCTCTGGGGAGGAGAGCGATTCCAGACATGGCTTACATGGCTGTAGTGACCATGGGGAAGGGGGGGGGTCATCTTCCATGCATGTCTTTCGGCTCATATAACGCCCCCCCCCAAGGCGTGTACAAGAGGTGCCTCTCAGGAAAGACAAGGGAAGTGAAGGCTGGAACCCTCCACACGCCATCCCGACAGCCCCAGGGGGCTCCCTCTCGTGAGGAGCACCCCAAAACTTCCGCCCCACTGGAAGAAGGGGGTGTGTCCCAGGAGAAGCTGATGTGCTGCACCTGGGGGCCCCAGCCTCTTTTCCACCCCTCCCCTCCAGCAGGGAGGACCACTGTAGGATACGCCAGCAGCTGTCCGTGACCGGGGGTGGGGCTCAGTGGGGCACCACGTGCACCCCCCCCCCTCCAAATACTCATCCTGGGAAGTTCCAATGCGAGCAGGACGCGGCCTTCCAGGCTCCACCTCCCACCTGGGCAGAACTGAATGAGCGGTGCAGCCCGACCTGTCCAGATTCCCACAAGGGCAGCTGTGGCTACTTCGCAGTTACCTTTGGTCCTGGTAAACCCAGGTGGGTGCAAAACGGCCGCTTGGTGTCACAGAAGAGATGAGCATCCCGATGCAGAGCTTCATGAAATATTCTCCAAATACCATTTATCAATTTGGATATTTAACTTAGATACCGATCTGATGTTTATCAAACATCAACAGCAGTTTTTGCTTGTGGTCCAGAGCGGGACTGCTGTGGGTGAACCGCAGAGGAGGTGGCAGGAATTAAAAGACCTCCGTCAGCCCCTCAAAGAAATGGAGCTCCTGGAGGCAGCGGCTCAATTCTGCCACTGGGCCTGACCCTGGCACCTGCAGAGCGCTCAGACCAGCCTTGCCCCACAGCAGGGGATGGGGCCCTGGTGGGCTTTCACTGGGGCAAACCGGGCGCCTGCAGTGACAATGCCCGACTTCCCGGCAGAGACCCTCAGAAGCGCCCGAGAGCACCCCAGTTTCCCAAGCCCCCACTTGCCCCTCTGCCATCCACTGCCCCGAGGGGACAGGGTGGCCCACGTGCTTCATCTGGGAAGGAGGGGAAACCCAGTTCCCCTTTGGGTGGACGATGGAGCAGAGGGTTGCTCTTTAGCCCAGTGGGGTTTTCCAACTGCCCCCCTCTCCCCGCTGCTGTTTGGTTACAGGAAACTCCAGCACACACACACGCACACACACACACGCACACACCCATGGTGGGCTGATCAGCTTGCCCTCCGCACAGACCTTCGTGAGACACACGCTCCTGTTTCGTGCAACGGATTTGGATGCCAATTTTATTGGCGAGACTCGCTGTGCCAAGGGAGCCCCTTGTTCTTTGCAGGCCGCCCCCTTGCTCTGCTCAGGGCTCCCGCGTCCTTTTGGCCCCCAGGGCTGCTGCAGGGGGGGTGCCCATCGAGGCCCCGCCTCCCTCAGGTGGGTTCTTCCCTGCCCCCGAGCTCAGCCCCCTGGCCCCCCCTTTCCAGGCCAGCTGGCCCCCTTCCCAGAGTCCTCCTCCTCCTCCTCCTCCTCCTCCTCAGGACCCATCTTCGCCCAGGCGTCCTCTTCCCCCAGGAGGCCGCCCTCTTTGGGGGCACTTCTGACCCATCAAAGCGTCTCCAAGCAGCCGCCCCGCCCACCCGCAGGTGCTGCTGAAGGGCCGGGCAGCAAGGTGTGCCCAGCACAGGTGGCTGCAGCCTACGCAGGCCCCGGGCCTCGGCTTCTGGCCCGGCCAGCCTGGGGCACGAGGCCCCTGCGAGCCCAAAGAGGGCGCCCTCTCAGCCCAGGATGGGGGAGGGCCAGAAGCAGCCCTGCTGCCCATCCCCCCCCTTCCCCAACCTGTCTGCTCCTGCCAGCAATCCATCCCCCCCCCCCCCCCCCCCCGCAGGTGCCCTCCCAGCTTGCCCAGGGGTGGCTCAGCACAGGGGGGTGTTCTCGGCCACCTCCTCCTCCTCCTCCTCCTCCTCCACCTGGGAATCCAGCAGCAGCAAAAGCTCCAGGTCTGCAGCAGAGCCAGGCACCTCGGGGTGCTTGGTGCCCTTTGACCCTGCGTGGGAAGGGAGGGGTTAGCTGCCCTTCGAGGGCCCCCCGAAAGAGGGTCCCTCCGCCTCTCCCCTGCCCCCCCTCCTTACCCCCGAGGGCCTTCAGGGCCACGTGCAGGGAGATGCCCAGCAGGCAAACGGCAAAGCCCAACCAGTTCAGGACAGTGAGCTGGTCTCCCATCAGGTGGGCCGCCAGGAACAGCGTGAAGACTTCCTGGGGACAAGGCAGCGCGTCAACGCACAGCAGCCCAGGCTGGCCCGAGCCCCACCCCCCTTTGCCAGAGGCAGCTGGGGTGTGTGTGTGTGTGATCGGACAGGTCCCACTGCCGGGGGGTCCCCCTTACAGCCCTCAGAGGCACCCAGCTCCTTGGCCCCTTTACTGCTTTCCCAGAAGTGTGGCTCCCATGGAGCTCCTGGGCTTGGAGGGAGTGGGCCGGGCCTCCCCTTCCCGCCACAGATGCACCTTCCACAGATGGTTGGGTGGGAAGAAGGGAGCGCAGACAGCCGGCCTCTCCCCTTGAGGCCCGCAGACCCACTGAGGGGAGGGGAGGCCGGGAAAGAGCCCCCCCCCTCCAATACCTTGAAGATCCCCGATATGGAGAAGGTGAGGCTGGAGGTCCTGGATACCAGGAGAAACTCGGAGAAGCCCAGCCCGAAGGCCAGCACCCCTCCCAGCGCCAACTTCCCCAGCAGCTCCAGCAGCAGCTGCTCCTCGTGGAAACGGAACAGCTTCTCGGAGGCAGACAAGGGCAGACCTGGGGAAACAGGGAGGGCGGGAGTGGGGGGGGGGGGTGGCTGGCGGGCCCAGCCCCCCCCCCGGCCCCCCCGGGGGCAAACCCGGAGTTTGGGGGGGGGGGGGCAGGCAAGGCCTCCCGCAATACAGTCAGTCAGGAGGAAGGCCTTTCCTGCTGCTCCTTCCTGTGGGAGGCCACAGGCTGCCATGTCCGTCACGGCCTCCGCCCTTCCCTGGGCTCCCACAGTAGCTGGGCAACCCCAGGAAATCCGCGTCTTAAGCCTCCGGCCAGGCGATGGGACTTCTGGGACGTTGCCCAGGATCCCTCCCGAACACGCCCTACGCCGCCTCCTAACAGCTTCCTACTCAAGCAACTTGGGGTGGCCGCCTGAGGTCATTGCTCTCCCCCGCCCGCCACCCCCACCCCGGGGCAGGCTGCTGACCTTCAAACACGGCAAAGAGGGGGAAGAGGCTGAGGAACATGGCCGGCTGCAGGTGGAACATGGTGTCGATGGGGTTCTGGAGTCCTGCAAGGGAAGGGAAGGGCAGCAGCCGGTCAGGGGGAGGGAGGGAGGGAGCCCTTCCCCCAGCCCCCAGCCACACACTCACCCAGCTCCTCCTTTTGCAGGAGGATCTGCGTCCGTGTCCAGCGCACGCCCCCCAGGAAGGAGGCGCCCAGCACCATGGCAAAGCCCTCGGCCTCAAACTGGGTGGACTTGTAGGTGAACAAGAAGAGGCCCCCGGCGATGAGCAGGACCACCAGCACCAGGGCGGCTCTCTGGCAAGAGACGGAGGAGCAGCAACAGCAGCAGCGTCACCCCACGGCTGAGGGCAGAGGCGGGCAGGGCTGCTCCTCCGGCCCCGGAACCCCAAGGCTGCGGGGGGGGGGGGAGGGGGGGTGTCTCACCGGCTCCTCCAGCTTGAAGATCAGCGAGAAGAGGAGGATGAAGAGGACAGCCGAGGACTTGGTCATGGTGTAGCTGCCGGGCCGGGAGGGAGGGTGAGGGGCGCGCCTGGAGGCAACCCGGCCTTTCCCCCCCCCGCCCCGGGCGCCCCCCCCCCCCCCCCACCCTCCCCGGGGCCGCCCGGCACTCACAGGGAGACGGTGATGTAGAGGAAGCTCCAGTTGCTCAGCCCCACGTCCAGGGCGGTGGACAGCGCTGCGGGCGAGCGGGAGAGACGCCGTCAGGAGAGCCCCGCTGGGTCCCGGCGAGAGCGCCCACCCCACCCGCCCCCGCCGCTCACCTGTTGGGCCCACCTGGCGCAGGTAGGCGGGCCAGGGCAAGAGGGCGCGCCCGGCGGCGGCGGCGGCGGCGTGGGGAGGGCGGCGGCGGCGGGAGCAGCGCCTGGCCAGCCCCGAGAGCGCGAAGATGACCAGCAGGTGCAGCAGCGTCATGAACAGCGGGAAGGCGAAGCTCTGCGCGGAAGGGAGGCCACGCGGTGAGCCGGCGCCCGGCTGAGCCTTCCCCCCCCCGAGCCCCGCCCCCCCGCCCCCACCTTCATGAGCCACTTGTTGTAGAAGGTGATGCCGATGGAGAAGCCGTAGTAGAGCAGCACCAGCCCCGCCGCCCGCGCCGCCGCCCGCGCCCCGGCCATCGCGCCGCGCGGAAGAGCCCCGGCCCCGCCCCCCGGCCCACAGAGGCCGCGCGGCTAGAGCGCCCGGCCGCCCCCAGCGCCCCCTGCCGACCGCGGCGCAAAGAAGAGGCTGCAGCCCGGCTGGAGCGGGGAACGAGCTTTAATGCGGGCGGGGGGGGGGGGAGAGCGCGCCAGGTCCAGCCGCCGCCCCGCCCCCCCCCCCCCCCCCGCCAGTCCGGGGAGCCCGCAGCGGGCGGCGGCTCAGGCGTAGTGGTAGACGAAGTCGTAGCTGCTGGGCTCCTTGGGGACGGGCGGGGGCTCCTCCGGGATCTGGACGTTCTCCAGGTCCAGCAGGCGCAGCTTCATCTCCATGCTGAGCAGCGTGTCCAGGTCGCTCTTGGTCAGCTCGCTCGCCATGTCCTTCCCCAGCAGGGCGTTGAGGCCGTCGATCCAGATGCAGAACTGGGGGAACCGAGAGAGCGTCTCAGGCTGGGCAGCGAGGGGGCCCCTGCGAAGACCCTCCCACGGCTTCCCAGCCGGCGCCTGAGGATACCCCGGAGGGTGCAAACCGCAGCCCGGGAAGTTGCCTCCCTTTGGAAACAAGCACCCGAGGGCAGGACGGGGCAGGTGGGAGGGATCCGCCTAGTTCGACTAGCAACGGGGCTGCTCTAAGGGCCGGGGGGGGGGGGGGGGGTGGCTTTCGCCCCCTTAGTCTTGGTCGAATCCCAGGGAGCGAGAGGATGGGGTGGTTGAAAGGGCTGCCCTCTCCAGTCTTGGGCATTTCTGGAGGGAGGGGCAGCCGATGCCAGAACCAGGGGAATCAGAGCTAGAGGGAAGGGCTCCCCTCCAGGATGGCTGGGGGGGGGGGCTGCCCCAGAGCCATGGGCTCTCCTGGCTGGGTCGTCTGGGGGGCTGGAGGAAGAGACTCCCAGGCAGGAAAAGCACCTATTTGCACAACGGCCGCTAAGCCTGCCCTCTTCATGACCACCAGGCGGGTCACAGTCACCAAGCGGCTCCTGTTCAGGAGGCAGCTGTAAATCCATGGGAGGCTGCTGATGCAGAAGGCTCCACCTTAGTTCAGCCTGGCGGGAGAAGCGGCCTCCCACCTCCTGCTTGTCAGCCAAAACAGGCGGGGCAGGGAAGGCCTTGGCTCTCCACACCCACCACCCACCACCTTGAAAGCTGCAGAAAGCGCATTTCGCCCGCTTGCAGCTCCCACCCATCCTCTTGGCTGGCACAACCACCCAGGACTCTCCAGGCAGCCCCAAGAGGGAAGGAAGCGCTTTGATTCTTACCCTCAGCAGGGGCGGACCAGATGGCCTCCAGAGCCCCCTCCAACTCTGGCCCTCTCAGCACAGCTGCCCCCCCCCCCACACCCCCAGCCACGAAGGCCGCTCCCCTGGGCAGGGAACTTTGGCCGGGGAAGGACAGCCCTGGAGGGATCCCCCAGCTGTCACCTTCTGCTCACCTCGTATTTATTGGGTGCGATAAAGTTCAGGGCCTCGTCCGGCTCATAAAGGATGGAGAAAGCCAGTTCCAGGGCCTCCTTGGGGATGGGGAGAGAAGACGGGGGGGGGGAGTGGGGGGGGGGGGGGGGGGGGCCCTCCCCCCCCCCCCCCCCCCCCCGGGCAGGGGCCTTGGGGGGGGCTCCCTGGGACGCCCCTACCTTGTTCTGCTTCAGTGCCCCCTTCTCCTTCATGTGCGGGCAGTCTTTCCCGGTGAGGACGGCCTTGATGTCTGCCACGGGGACTAAAGGAAGAGGGGCCGCAATCACGCCCGGCCCGCGCAAAGGCCCATCTGGACAGAGGCCCCCCCCGCCCCCCCCCCCCCCCCCAGCCTACTCTTCTCCTGCAGCGACTCCAGGGCCACCCCTCCCTGGGCGTTCTCCTCCAGGTCCCCGTAGTGGAGCGTCTTGTGGTTCAGGGCCAGGCGGCAGTGCCAGAAGCGCTCTGCAAGGCAGGGGAACGGTCTCGGCAAGGGTCCCCCCGAGAGAGGGCCCCCTCCTCCGTTGCCACGGGGCCCCCCACCCCCGCTCACCTTGCCTCCTCCGGTTGCCCATTTTACGGAAGCTGCTCCCCTCGCAGAGGCGGTTCAGGCGCTGCTGCTTGATGAGCTCCAGGATCTCCGGCTGGATCTTCTCCCGCAGCTCCCTGGGGAAAGCCGCCCAGCAGGCACATCAGAGGGGTGGGGGGAGTCCCCCATGCCCCCCCCCCACCTCCTCCCCAGGCACTCACACGATGGGCGGGGACTGGAAGTCGTCCTGGCTCATCCGCTCCGACTGGCGCAGGCGGAGCACCTCCGAGTAGCCCAGGCTGCGCAGCTTGCCCTTAAACTGGTCCAGGGAGGGCGGCTTGGTGGGTAGAGCCCGGGTGATCTGCTCCCGCACCACCTGCATCACCTGGGGGAGGAGGAGGGGGAGGGCAGTGGCATTGCGGGGCTGCAGAGGGAGGCGGCGGGGGCCAGGCTGGGCGGGGGAGGCACGCAGACCCACCTTGTGGAAATCCTCGACTGTCGCCCGCATCTCCTTCCAGGTCCTGTTCAGCAGCTGGATGCAGATGGCGAAGAGCTCCTCCAGGGCCTGGTCGTGCGTGAAGAACATGGGGTGGTAGTCGTTCCGGCCCTCGTTGGCTGGGCAGAGGCGGGGAGGAAGGGGGCTGTCAGAGCGGCCGGGGAGGCCCCCTTTTCCCCAGGCTGAGCTTTGGGAAGGAGGGAGGAAGGGGGGTCTAGGGCAAATATTCCCAGGCTGCCAGGAGGCCTCAGCAGAAAAGCACCAGGAAGGGCAGTTGGGGTACGCGAGAAGCTACGCAAAAGTGTCGCAACGTCCCACAGGGCTTCTCACAGGCGCCCCGAGACTCGCATTATGAGGCTCTGGGTGGCAAAGCAGAGCTTTTACCTTTCTGACGGGAGTGAACGGGGCCCCTTCGCCGACCAAGGGCAGCTCAACAGCCGTCCTGGCCCAAACTGCGCCCACCCACCCACACCCCGCCACCCTGGGGCTGCCACCAGTTGGGCACCCTGCGGGGCTCGGAGGAGGAGGAGGGGGAAGCAGCTGATCAGAGAGCAGCGCCTGCTCTGGCCCCGAGCAGCTCGGCCTCCACCGGACTCCGCTTACGAAGTTCTCCAATCTGCAGGATCTCGCAGAGCACCTTGGTGAGCTCGATGGCGCTGCGGCCAAAGGGGCAGGCGTGTTTGTCCTCTGGGCTGCTGTTCTCCAGGACGATCTGTGTGGAGGGAAGAGAGGCCCAGAGTGAGGGGGGGGGCTGCCTGCGCAGCTCCTCCACTGGGGGCAGCTGGGCCCCTTACTCGGATGTAGGCGTCCTGGTGGTGTTGGGCCAAGTAGAGCATGTTGTCCAAGGCCAGCATGCCGGGCGGGGTCTGGAGGAAGTCCAGGGCAGGATTGACGGGGTTCTGCGGGAACAAATCGGTCTCTCTTGGCCCCTGGCCTGGAAGCTCAGCCGGCCAGCCCTCTCCTGCACCCCCTCTCCCAGCCCCACCCACCGTGAAGCCCAGCAGCTTGTAGTCCCTCGTGTAAATGGCCTTGCGCTTCTCTGCTCCGCCACCAGGGGTGCTGCCACCGCTCTCAGCCTCGGCCTCAAAGGCGATCCTGCGCAGCTCGAAGAGGACGTCCCGCTGGGCCTGCTTGGGACAGGGGGGGCGGTGAGCCTGGGTGGCGATGGCGGCAGAAGCAGCCAAACCCCTGCCCCGAAGGCCACACGGGGCTGCCGTGCCCACCACCTGGTCGCTGGGGTCCATTTTCGTCATCATCCGCTCCTCCCGGAGGTTGAGAGTCAGGACCTGCAGCACGTACAGCTGGTGGGCCATCTCGGTCTTGATGGGACGGTTTCCGCGGATGACGTGCTGGGTTGGGAGGGGAGGGAGGAGAGCGTGAAGGCGGTGAGCAGGAGCAGCCCCCACCGCCTCGCAGTGCTCGGCCGGCCCAGGGCAAAGGGGTCCCTTGCAGCAGGGGTCCCCAACCACCGGTCCGCGGACCGGTACCGGTCCGTGGAACAAATCCTACCGGGCCGCTGGTTTGCTGGGCGCCGCCATCTTGTTTTGATGAAAAAGTGCTTCCGGTGAGCTCACCGGAAGC